AAAAAAAAAAAAAAAGAAAAAGACGGCCAATCGGAGGAGAGTGAGCGGTGAAAAAAAAGAAGAAAAAAAGAAAAGAAAGGAGTAAAAAAAAAACAGTGAGCGGTGAATAGAGATTAGCGATGGCCATGTCTGTCGGGATGGCGGGAGTTTCCAGCGGCGTTGCGATTTCCCGCGTTTTTATCTTCGACGAGATGACGTCAACAACGTGGCGGCGGAAGACGACCACGAGCAGACCGTTTGTCAGGATGAGGAGGAGGAAGGGGATGCACGGTGCGATTGCCACGTGTTCGAATCCCACGTGGATAGGGATGTCATCTTACCTGCCAACTAAGAGGGAAGATTCAACGCACCTGGTCCACCATTCGGCTGTACGAGAATCAAGGTTGCTGCTGAAAAGAAGGCCCCCCTCCCCCTCCCTGCCTGCCGCGTGTCGACGGGAAGAAATTCTGCACCCTCTCTCTCAAGCAGCTGCTGCGGCTACGGCGGTCCCGACTTCTCGCACCAGACATTCGTCCTTCTCCGAATGGCGCTACGTGGCAAGAAGGAATAATGCCACGTCAGCTTGCGAGGATAGAAGTGGAAACGATTTCTTCAGAATGACCAAGTAGGTGCGCGACTCCTTTTTTTTCCTATCTTTTTCTTTAAATTTATTGATTTGAAATTTCATATTTTTAATTTGTTAATTGTTTTTTTTTTTAAATTTATTTATAATTGTTTGTTTTAATTTATTTATATTGCTATCGCCCCCCGCCTTCTCCCTTCTCTCTTCCTCCCCTTTTCTAACAGAGGACTCGCTTTTTGTAGAACTTGAATAGGTGTTTGCTTTTTATGGGTAGAATGGACAAGTACCGTCTTCATCCGAATAGAATGGCCGGTCATTTGAGCTGTATTTGGTGCAACTTCCAGACTAGATACAGCGATAATGACGGGGCGCTCTATTCGGCTGAAGACGGTAAATGTTAACCAGAAAGGAGAGGGGGGGGGGAGGAATGTACTTTGATATGCATTATGTTTATCCACAAGTTTATCCCGATAGATCGCTTCGTTTTACCTCCTTTCCCCCCCGCGCCCCTCCCTCCCCCTCCTTCCCCTGGGACGAGGTCCCACTAGCAGAGACTCCTGAGAGGACTGGATTGAACGCCTGAATCTGGACGTGTTTGTGGAGAGGTGCAGACAATTGCGATTGATCCGGGGTTCTGCATCCGTCCGTAAAACACATCCAGATGCAGGCCGTTGATCCATGTGGGGATGGTCACCTGGGTTGGTCACCTGGATGGTATCATGTGGGGCTGGGCTGAGTGGTACCATGTGGGCCGGGTCACGTGGGTTGTACCATGTGGGGCGGGTCACCTGGGTGGTGCTATGTGGGGCTGGGCTGGGCTGGGCTGGGCTGGGCTGGGCTGGGTGGTGCCATGTGGGGCGGGCAACCTGGATGGTACCATGTGGGGTGGGTCACCTGGGTTGTACCATGTGAGGCTGGGCTGGGTGGTACCATGTGGGGCAGGTCACCTGGGTGGTAACCATGTGGGGTGGGTCACCTGGGTGGTACCATGTGGGACTGGCCTGGGTGGTACCATATGGGGCGGGTCACCTGGGTGGTACCATGTGGGGCGGGTCACACTATGCGGACTGGATGGTATCAGGACACACCCACACAGGGAAAAAAAA